GCGCGCTGGCCGCGCTCGGCCTCGCGTCGCTCGCGCTGGGGCGGCAGCACCTGCGCGAGCTGCTGCTTTGGGCCGGCGGGCTGGACGGCGCGGCCGGGCTGCTGCTCTTCACCGTGGGCTTCATCGTGGTCTCGCTGCCCTGCGGCTGGGGCTACATCCTGCTCAACGTGGCCGCCGGCTACCTGTACGGCTTCGTGCTGGGCATGGGGCTCATGGTGCTGGGCGTGCTGGTGGGCACGTGCGTGGCGCACGTGGCCTGCAAGCGGCTGCTGGCGCGCTGGGCGCTCGCCTGGGTGCAGCGCAGCGAGAAGCTCAGCGCCGTCGTGCGCGTCGTCGAGGGCGCCAGCGGCCTCAAGGTGGTGGCCCTGGCGCGGCTGACGCCGGTGCCCTTCGGGCTGCAGAACGCCGTGTTCGCGGTGAGTGCGGCCCGGGGCCCTGGGAGGGCGGGCGGCTGCCGGTAACGGTCGCGTAACGGTCCCCCGCGACGCGCGGCTGCCGGTAACGGTCGCGTAACGGTCCCTCACGCGGCTGCCGGTAACGGTCGCGTAACGGTCCCTCACGCGGCTGCCGTAACGGTCGCGTAACGGTTCTTCACGCGGCTGCTGTTAACGGTCCCCCGCGCCGCGCGGCTGCCGTAACGGTCGCGTAACGGCCCCCCGCGCGGCTGCCGTTAACGGCCCCCCGCGCGGCTGCCGTTAACGGCCCCCGCGCGACGGGGCCGCCCCTGCTGCGGAGCGCCGGATGTCACTTGTTTTTGGGCAAAGGGGAGATAATGATGAGCGCCCTGTGCCGGCCCCGCGGCGGGCAGAGGCGGCCAAGGCTGCCCGGAGGCGCCCGGGCAGCCTTGGCCGCCTCTGCCCGCCGCGGGGCCGGCTAAGGTCCCCTTCGGGAAACGGCAACGTTTTGGGAGCAAAACGGCCCCGCAGGGGGACTCAGGGTGGTTGAAATACCCGTGTTCATGAAGCAGCTCGGGTGGGAGGGAAGGCTAAGCAGAYCTGCCACGTCTCCAGGCACCTTAATACAAATAATAGTACTGGAAGGGAAGAGGTGGGTGGGTTAAAATTCTTTGGTCCAGGGGTGTTTGTGCAGTGTGGGTTTAGCAGAGCTCTGTGTGGTGTTAGACTCGAGTCTGTGGAGAGAAGGAGGGTAGGGGCTCATGGCTGAAGAGGACTAGGGTGCTCAGAATTTGAACCAGAGTTTAGCAAAGTGTTGAGCTTGATTTTCTCTCCTATTAATTTAGTACATTTGTTAAGAAAATATTACTTAGAATCTATCATCTTGTAACTAATCTCAGATGCTTTAAAGGAGAAAGTGAAGAAGAATATAAAGTATGCTCATTTTGGGGGGAAGCAGGGTCCATTAGACTAGTTTTGAGCCTTCTGCTCTTCCTGAAGGATTTGTCTGAAGAACCTCTTTTTGGCTCTGCTTTAGGCCTCAGCCAGGTCTGCAAATGTGCAAAAATCCCTACAAAGCACGCCAGATGGCACAGTGTTTTTAATGTTTAATGGTAACTCATATATCTTTTATCATAAGAGATGATGCAGACATGGGTTTTGGTCTGCTGCATTCCTACAGAAATACTTCCCTCATCCGCAGTCCCGAGTCTGTGTTCTTCCGAAGCACTTGCTTCGTTGTGACGGCTCCATCTGGTTGGACATGGGCAGGTCACCCAATTCTGAGTCTGTTGTTGGACGCTAATTTTCACAGGGCTTCCGAGTTTTTTTCTGTAGAWTAAAATTGCTTTGTATAGAACTTGCAGTAGAGCCTTGGCGTTAGTCTCCAGAGTGGCTCTCCCTGTCCTTGAAAGGTGTAGCAACTTAAGGGATATCCTCATTTAAGTAGCTCCTTTAGGCATTTTGTGTAGGGGATGGAGGAAAGTTAGCTGCTTCATTCCCTTATTTGCAGTGTTGCGGGATTGAGGAAGCTCAGATTTGCAGGGTGGGTGTGATGAGAGAGGGAGCAGCTAGGGGCATCTCCAAATCCCTCCCGGATCAGCGTGGCAGGATCTGGCACAGCCAGAGGTGTCCCGGCTGCTCCGAATCCCTCCCGGATCAGTGTGGTGGGATCTGGCACAGTTGGAGGTGCCTTGGCTGCAGCGCGGCCCATTCAGAGCAGGGAGAGCCACTGCACGTAGGTTGTTCATGTCTCCCACGTGTCACTTGACGCCGCCAGCAAGTGTTCTAGAGCAGAAGTGGGTCTGGTTCACAGCTGACCTGCAAATTACTGAGCTGAAAYGCTTCATTTTTCCTTTTCCTGATCGTTCTGCCATGCCCGTTAGGGAAAACGGTGCAGCAGAGCATGCAGGCCCGTGTAACATTAAAATAAYGCTGTAGTCAGTGGTTTGTATTCTCTAAGTGCTGCAAACTACAAAAAATTCTTCCCTAGTGAAAGGTTTCAGTATAAAAATAACATATATGGAAATGAGATGAAGCCAAGTTCCTGAGTATGCTAAATAGCTTGAATGTTGCCTCCTAAAATTAGTTTGGGAGCTGTATTTATTACTCCTGATTTATTAGTCTTAGCAGCCTCATCARGTGAAACAGTGTGTTCATACCAAATTTCTTGATTAAACTTTGGAATCCCATGTTACTGAAAACCTTAAAATGGTGCCTGCAAATSTGGGAATTCCAGGCTGTTTCTCAACGTGAGTGAAGTTCAAGATTTGTGCAGAACACTTGCTTCTGCTCACACGGTCGGCGCTCTCATTTCTTGGAGACGGAGCTCCCAGGGATTTCTTAGCTTTTCACTGGCCTCTGCTGCCCTCCAGGGAAACACTGGACATTAGGAGCAGGAGGGCAGCGCCTTAGCCTGGAAGGCCTGGGAAGGGRCGCAAGGAGAGCGAGTTGACGCTTCTCCGAGCAGGTTAGAGTAACCAAAGCTGTGCTGTAACGGGAGGCCCGSGGCTGCTTGGGGTGCTCCTCACTGAAGCGTCTCCCCTTGCAGTTCCTCCTTTCCCTCCATGAGGGGCTGTGTCTGCAGAAATCTTCTTGGACTAGAAATCTGAGTGTCCAACCTCTCTGCTTCCAGAAACGCACAGTGAAATCACAGTTCAGACACCATCTCCTTCAGGGGAGCACGTGGCCGCTTCCTGTGCCTGCTGGAAAGCTCTCAGCTTTTTTGTTTTGGTTTCTTTCAGTATCCCTTTTTCACTGGGAAGCAGGGACTGTCAGAGCTCTCCTTTGCTCCCGCTAGCCGAGGCTGCCTGATCCGTGGCACAGGGCGCTCTAGGCCAAGGGGTGGGAGATCTGCTTCACTCCCAATGCATTTGACCTCTTGCAGCAACCTGACTCGCTCTGTGACAGAACCAAAAATGCCAACTGTGAGGAAGCTACAAAGGCTGCATTGGAGAGGGCCTCGCCAGGCCTAAGTAGGAGAACTTCTGCCTGTAGCTTTTGCTACCAGCGAGGTTAGGCGGTTCTTAATTTTATTTCAGGATGTAGTTTGTCCAGCCAGTAGCAGCGTTGCATCTATTTGCCCTTTGGGATTCCATTCTTAATTTTTCCTTGCTTGAGCCTCCCTTAGAAATAGAGTCCATGTAGAAAATGTCACTGGTTTAGCAGCACTCTAGGGCAGGTAAAACATTACAGAAGATCAYAGAAGGAGGATGTTGTCTGCAGCAAGACGTATCGAGCGTTTCTTGGGTCCACCAGCCGGTGGCCAGCACGGTAACATCTTCCCATCAGGCGCTCCTGCCTTCGGGAGACAAGGCTGCCACTGCAGCTCGCAGACCGGGGCTCGCAGCGACATCTTCTGCAGATTCTTTCCTTCCTCTCTGATTAACTTTCATTTTAAAGGAATGCACAAGCCCCAGCCCAGTGTGTTTGTTGGCAGCCTCTCCGCTGCTGGAAACAGTCCCTGTCGAGGCCCAGAGCACCCAGTTGCTTCAGGATAGATCCAGAGGTGCAGCGTGTTCCTCGGCAGCTTCACTGTCTTCATACATATTCAGAAGAGAAAGAGGTGCCCAGGAGTGTTAAAACAATCTTTGGGAAGTTTCCCAGCCCCATTAGATTTAATGACAGTGTCCTACTTAGCAATTCTTGCCTCGGCCTTAGCGTTTCAGAGACTTTTAATAGCTGCTCCTTCATTCCCTTGGTAATAAGGGAAGTTTYTGTGTGCATTCTTATTACATGGCCCAGATTACTGTAATATTAAGAGCAACTCTTTTGAAAGCATCTGTCAGATACAAAATGTGACATAATTATATAGTGCTTTTTCATTAGAAATCTAAATTAGACTTCCATAGAGAGGAAATGTATTATTTGTGCAGCAGGTATATACTTAAGTCTATAGGAACCGTAATTTGCAGCGTGAAGTTTGGCACTGACTGGGTGGATCTTACTGCAGTGAGTTAATCTTTGTCCTGTTGCATGCTCCTCCGCCGCCCTTCCTTCCCCCCCAAGGACTTTCCACTGGTGGTCTGTGCTTAGAGCTCTGGGAATTTGGCGTTGTGACTTTCACAGTTTATTTTAGRAACAGAGTGATGAAATGAGTGACTTTGCTGCTTTTCTCGTCTTTGACATGGTACAAATCTGTCAAGGTCAATAATTTCATGTAGGCTTCTAGGTTTAGGGGCTGTTGCTACTTAGAGCTCATTTTGTTACGAGATCAACTGAATTGTCTGGAGGAATTCCTTAAACTGATTATTTCAAAACTTCCTTTTTTTTTTTTTTTTTTAATGCTTGTGTTATTTTTAACCCTCTGTTTCTTTCAGTTTTCATTTTCTTACATAAATATCTCTGGGAGTCTTGGCTCTTAGATTTAATATTTCTCAATAGCTGCTGATACTAATTTAGCTAATGGTTTGTAGGTTGTTCCCATATAAACTGTCCACTCAGTATTCAGTGACTTGGAAGAGAAGTTTGTCAGCAAAGAAAGGAAACTCTTTTTAAGTATTATTCCTSTTTTTCTCCTGCAGATACTGACAAAAACTAAAACTGGGCAACTGATTTGTATTTTGTTCACTAATTAAAGGATGGTATGAAATATCTTTTGGCAGAGGATCTTGATGAGCTGTGTACAGTCTGCTTCTACACAGGAAAYTATATCTGCATTTCTGCCTTATATATCACAGTAACATTTTGAGCAGACTATCGCTTTATTAGTTTTCATAGATRTAAAATGCAAACAAAGTAGATGATAAATATCAAATCTTTGCTTAGACCTTCTTATCTGGTAATGTCATTTATTTCTGAGAGCAAAAGCATAAATTGTAGAGCTCTGTTCATCACGTAGAAACAAACATCTTAAACACTGTAATTGAATCYTTAGTTAATGACTTTATGTAGAGATGTTGAGCAATGTAAGGTGAAACAAACTAAAGCCCAGTAAATTTAAAGTGACCAGATGAGATTATAGATGAATACYATTTTATTGTATAACCTCTGATTCAGTAACAGTGGCAAAGTTGAACAGAAGAAATAAAGGAAATTTGTTCTGTTTGTGYGTGGATGGTTGCGGGGGAGGCGGGGCGGTTAGTTGTACTGAAGCCGTGCCTGGTTGCTCATGGTTTCTGCTGTTCAGATTACAGATTTGTCGCTCCCCAACTACCTGATGGCTTCTTCAGTTGGGCTGCTTCCTACCCAGCTCCTCAACTCCTACTTGGGCACCACCCTGCGTACGATGGAGGACGTGATTGCAGAGCAAAGTGTGAGCGGATATTTTATATTCAGTTTGCAGGTAAGCCAAAGCCATTCCCTTCACAAGCTTTAGCAGTAGYGTCAGTATTTTTTGGAAGTGTTGTCTACTTGTTCTTTTTGAGCATATTTCTTTTTTTTTACTGATCTGCTGTGCCAGTGGGATTTGAGACAGGATTTTGCTTTTCGAGCTAAGCAGGCAAGTTTCTTTGGTGTGGCATTGTCTCAATTATGGATTTTTTTTTTTCCTTTGGAAACTATATCCCGGTAGGAACGTGCATAAGAGAGAGAGATCCGGCACTGCTGGGTTGCCTTGCACATTGCACAGCCCCTGTGTGTAAAAGAGGGGGCCTGAAAGGGGTTGCACACGCTGCGGTGCTTGTGCTTTCCGTTCSATCTATAGCGTCCCCAGGCTGAGGCAGCCGACCTCTTACAGACTGAGGCTGAGCAAATGTGGCAGATGGTGCTTAGAAGCAGCAGCCCAAGTGTTTGAATTACATCTATGTTTTATCTTAAGTGTACTCTGTTAAATAGAGCTGACAGTTCTTTTTCACAGACTTTATGGCTACTAGATATTCAGCACAACGGGTTTCCAGTGTACTGTCATTTTCTTTTTTTTTTCTTTTTTTTTGTTTTATTTTCTTTCAACAGAAAAGGTTATTTCTGTTATACCTCAGGTGATGCAGGGCAGAGATTATTCAGCCTCCATTTCCTTGTTCTGCCTTGTGAGGTTTTCCTCTCCTGCCCTGTGTATTTTTTTGTTCTCCAGCTGAAATTCAGGCTTCTCAAACCATCCATGCATAAGTCTAYGTGCTGCTGTGGAACCGGCATGTGTGCAGTGTTCACAGAGGGCAGGGGCTGTTAGCCTCGAGAAGGCTGAGGGGGGACCAGATCATTGTATACAGATACCTCAAGGGAGGGAGTGAGGAGGCGGGGGCCGGCCTCTTTTCACTGAGGGCCACTGATAGAACTAGAAGAAATGACCACAAACTGAAGCACCAAAAGTTCCACAGGAATTTAAGGAAAAAATTCTTGACAGTGAGGCTGACAGAGCACTGGAACAGGCCGCACAGAGAGGTTGTGGAGTCTCCTCTGGAGATCTTCAAAACCCGCTTGGATGCAGCCCTGTGCCACATGCTGTAGGTGATGCTGCGTGTGCAGGGGTTGGGCTASATGATCTCTAAAGGTCCTTTCCAACCTTAAGGATTGTGATTCACTGTAAGCACAGAATACTTCTGATTTTGTATAGATCTTTTGTATGAAAAAATGTCATAGAAATACCATTCTACTAATGGCTAAACTAATTTATGCTTATTTTGCCATTCAGTACGTGAAGTTTTAGTATACAGACAGGTTCTTATCTGATAGTGCCAGCACTTTCAGATTATTTTTGACCTGCAGTTACTGTGGTTTGCAGATTTTGATTGGTTTGCAGTCATTCATCTCAGTTTTTCTGATCAAAAACTCATATTTAACAAAACTAAGCTTAAAAACCTACTCGAGGTTAATGTTCCCCAAACCCCTTCCTCCCAATAACCCTTACTGGTTTATAAATTATATGGAACATAATAGATAGCATTGATAGATCACTAAGAATATTAAAATATCTTTAAACAATATTAAAAACATTTGGGGAATGGGGCATAATATGATAAAAGTTAAAATGAGAAGTTATTTGATCAACTTCAGTTTAGTCTTTAAACCTCATTTATGGGGTAGTTTCCCGCAGTGTGGTGCGTGGGTTTTTATTTTTTTTTTTCTTCCCCTCTCCCTAATTTGTTTAAAATTACTTTGAGTAATTGAGTAATGCGACCTGCCAGCGTCACATACCTGCAACTCAAGTGCACGCCGCCCAGGGAGGCTCAGTGTTTGAACAGGAGCCCTCAGCTTCTTGAAGCAGCTTTTAGGACGCGAGTGGCTGAGGTGAGGGCTCTCTCCTAGGGAAGGAATTACTTGTTCTCCCTCTGTTTTTCAGGCGTCTGCCCAGTGCTTTGCCTATTTGTGTGACTTTGATGCACTTCAGTTTAGCAAATAGCATTAAAAACGCTTGGTGGTTCTCTGAATGTATCCAAAATAACAAATGTTGTTTGATTTAGCTTTGTTCATAGCTGCCTGTGTGCACATGTTTTAAATTATTTGGCTGGGACATTGAAGGCTGCTGGCAGTAATAATTGTAGAAACAGTTAAATTTAAATATTTGGGTAAGCTTTTATCATTAGATTCTTCATACATATTCATCATTTATTGTGTGTAGTCTCTTTTTGACTCCTACATAGGCTAACTTTTGAAACTTATAGCTGGAATTAATAGACAGTTGCTCTTAATGTGGATAGTTATTTATTTAATGCTTATAACAATCTTAAAGAATGAGTTTGGGATATTTGTATGCTCTTTATTTAATAAGCTTATCAAATAAAAGCATTTTGCTTGCTTAATAGGGAACAATTATACCCTTATTTTACAGCAGTAGGATTAAACTCAGTATTTTGTCTTGCTGGATCAGAGTTTCTAGACTTGCTTTAAATACTTAGGTGTTCGATCTATTTTTGGATCAGTATTTCTGTAGCAGTGGAACAGTCCCCTGTCTGCAGCAGAAGCCCTGCTGGATAAAAGATGGAGGGTTTTTTTAAAAGGAAGCTCAGGTTCCAGCTACTGCATAGAAGCAGTTCTTAAAATACGGAAAAATTTACCACCTTCTTTTAAGGCTACTGTCATTATGGGACAGCTTGATTATTTTGAAAGATTTCTGTTTGTTTCTCTTAAGGAGGATCTCTGCTGAAAACCCTAGTGATGTTTTATTGAAGCCAAAGACCATCTCTGGGAAGTACAGCAAATGCTGATACCATAGAATAAGTAATGTCTAAGGAAAAAATATACTGGTTTACTCCATTTTCTTTTTTTTTTTAGTTTAAAAAAAGTATATATTTTTTTAAATAGTAATAAAATTCAGAGGAAAAGTTCTGGACTCAAATTCTACAAGTTCAGACTGCTACAAGTTGCTTGGAGTTCACTTCTGTCATACTTTCCCCTGACATCTCGGGAGTGCTGCAGTTTCATTTTGTCTGCATCATCCCTTTTATCTGCTGTTTTGCAAACTGTAAATACCTACTTACTATTTAGAAAGCAGCTCTTTGATTTCAAGCAACACATGTCATTTTCTTTACGCAGATGTTTTTTGAAGCAGTGAAGTGATTACTTTGCTAGAAAGTATGTGAAAGGTGGTAATGGCAAGAAAGAATCTGTATTTGCAGTTCATACTACTATTTAAGTTTACTGATGCCTGCTTTTTGGGCATGTTAGTAGGAACATACATTGATCTGGTGTCACTTCCTGGTTAAGTTCATCTCCCCTCTCATCACTTGCCTTTATACCATTGACTCAGTGACGTCTTCCTGAGCCTTTGCTCTGGTGGCATTCAGGTTGTGTTAGGAATAGTTGTGTGCTGTTCGTGCTTATAGGTCGTATATCTGACAACTCTTTGTTTGCTTGCAGATTGTCATAAGCATAGGACTCATGTTTTATGTTGTTCACCGAGCTCAAGTGGAGCTGAATGCAGCTATCGTGGCGTGYGAGATGGAAATGAAGACGTCCCTTGTTACAGGCAGCCAACCCAGCATCAGTGGTTCAACCACATCGTGCAACAAGAGGACAGTAGCATTTGCTGGGGGAGGGATCAATATTGTGTGATTTTTGTTTTTTTTTTTTAATTTTTATTTTTTCCAAGTATTAATAAAGTAAGGTTTTTATGAACCTCAGCTATTGCCTAGAGATGTCTATGGACAATTAAACCGGATTTTAAAAAGAAAAAACAACCTCCTCTCCCCCGAAGTGGCTACAGGTTGTACTGTGGCACAGACCAGCTGACCAGCTCTTCATTTGCACAGGGGATGACTTCTAGCAAGAACTTTAAGATGGCAAAGTAACTTAAGATGTAAATGTAAATTTGGCTGCACCTTTGGTCATTTATTATGCCTGTCATGGCCGGTAGTCTGCACTTTAGTTTTTGTTTGCTCCTATAAGCTGAGAAATGCTTCTATAAACTGAGAAAAGTAGCACAGAGGTAAATATTTTTCTGCTTAGCATTATTTATAAGGCTGAATAATTATATACATTAGAATTTTATTACTGATAAAGATGAATGAGAACGTATGCAATTTAGTGTATATTATTCCTGAATGTGCTTTGCTTTGGAGTTACTTCCTGACTTCTAGTGTATTATTTTGCTGATTATGGGGCCATTTGGCTTTCTCTTCATCCTTATTTTTATTATTATTATTATTTTTTTTAAGGGGAGCAGGGAGAGAACCTTATATATAAAGTTTTGGTTGAATGTATTTTTGTAAGTCATTACAAATGTTGCAGAGCCATGCATATGTATTCACAGAAGCTTAAATCCTACATTGTGGGACTGAAGTGCTCTTAAATAACATTTTAAGTTACACTGTGTAATATGCAAAGAAAAAGGGAAAATACAGAAGTTATAGTAGATTGCAGTGACCAGCACTACGTGAAGGAGACTTTGTGAATCAACTTTGGTTTTACCACCTTGATGATGGTAACAAAGGGCTGTTCCATTTTAACCCTGTCTATAACGATTTTCTAATTGTTAAAGGATGGAGTTGCATGTATTAAGGTTTTCCAGAATAGGGAGCTAAATCTCTCTTTTAAACAACACTGACAGGATATTAGTGTGAAGGTGGCCTTTATTTTATCAGTGAATTACCTCCTCCATTTAAAAATCTTCAAAAATTTACTTAGTTTGTATGTTTTTTTCTAAAAGCTTTACATTTTTGAAAGATGCAATCTATTATAAATTTTACCAGAGCGAAGAAATGAAAACTAAAGGTTCTCCTGGAATAATAACTAATCCAGTAATGGAGAAGGGCAGTAATGTCTCTGAGACTCAGGAATTCTGACTSCATTTCTGCAAGACAACACTGTATCGGATAATGCTCCTCTTACGCATGCTGTGGACTGTTTGTCACAGTCTTCTATTCGAATAGACTGGATAAACTGACAGTAACTGTGTGTGTGAGAGAGAGAATGTGTTTGTGTGAGTAAAAAGAAGAAAGTAATTGCAATGCCTAAATCTGAAGTCTCATGYGTGCAAATTCCATGTGGATATGCATACCAGTGTTCAATTGCTCACACACAAGTCATCTGGTACAAAAAATGTGATGTATTGCTTTGTAGTTACTTTGTTACAAGTTTTTAAGGATGTTTTCAGTCTTTAATTTTTGTGTTGTTTTCTAACAGAGTGACTGTCCTCTTTATTTTAGGACTGTTTGCAGGACCCAAGCATGTTTTGTCATGTTGAGAGCAGCCAGCCCCTCAGGGTAGCTGGGAAGCAGAGATTTGATAGCTTTAAACAGTCTTACTGTGGAGGCGAAGCATATACAGTATTGGAATAACTTTACATCTAAGTAGTCCTTCGTAGTAGAAGTTCAATTTTGTTCTTTAAATATATATCCTTTGCAGACCTCTGTTCCTGGGTATTGTGACCYCAGGAACTAAACTAGTTAGTTGAAACCACAAAGTTCAGATTGTCTCAAGGAGGAAATGAAAACAAGTGAGGCAATCTGTACTTGCCTGGAAGTGTTCACTTACACATCTCTGCCTCTGACAGCTCCTGTATGAAAACAAGAGAGCCAGATAACTTTTCGATGGCGTTATTTGTCATCAGAGTATTATTGAGCCCTTTAACTAACCTCTTTTTATTTATTTCTTGGAAAGATCAGTCCTTGAATAAATGAACCGATCTGAACTTTGTTCCATCTTGCTAAGCCAATAGTAGTGTTTTGAAGAGGGTACCCTTTTTTTCTTCCATTTTTAAACTAACTTAACCTAGTGTTGGTTGTTCAAGAACATTTCCCAAATTGTATTTTAAAGTGCTTTTATTTCCATAACATTTTGTAACCAGAGTAACTTCACTATGTGAACACTTTTGTAGTATGGAATTAGTTCTTAAGACTTTTGCATTTTGCTTGATACTTGTAATATTTGTGTACAAGTTAATGGGAAATGTGCTTTAAAAGGAATTTTTCTGTACCATGCCAATCATAATTTTATACAATAAATTCACTTAAATTTCTCTAAGAAATATGTATTAAACTTTCAGGTCGCTACAAAGCGGTATTGGAAAGAAGGTTCCATGAAGTGTCGTCTTTAAATTTGCACACATAAAGAAGCAAAGAAATGTGAATTACTTGAATTCAAGTATTTCAAAGAAAGCTGAGAGCAAAGAAAGTATAGCAAACAAAGCTAGGCAGAGCAAGTAACAAGTTCACRTTTCAGAGTGAATTACCTGGCATGTGAGTTACAAGGAAAAGAGGGTAAAAATTATATTTTGTAATACTGGGCTTAATTCTCTTCAATACTTMAAAGACTGAATATTTATAGGTGCCTTTTTGTTTAAGAGCAAACATATATAGCTTCTGAGATGTGCTGATAAGCCTAAAGATTACTTATTTCTGAATGTAAAGGTAACAAGAATTTTTATTTTATTTTTTTGTGTGTGTTGTTTTGGGGAAGGGAGAGGTTGCCATGCTGGCAATGCCATGCTGGTGAAATTTCTGGGTTTTTTTTTTTTTTTTTGATTGTTTTTATAAAACACATGATAAATCAGAGGTGATACAGAAGAGAGAATCTCTCTCAGCTTATTGGCACCAGAAAATTTACTATTTCTGGTAAGTGCAATTCTACCAAATTTATCAAAATCTATCTTTATATATTTGAAGTGTCTGGGAGAAAAATCTAATTTTTTTTTTACTCTTGCCTAAGAGCTTTAACTATTACATTTTTTAATACTTTCTAAAAATGACTTCAACCAGCATTGCAAAGGTTCAATTTGAAGAACAGAAAACATAATATATTATGTTTTATATATACATCTAGTATTGCATACTTATATGATTTGAGTTTTCATGAACCAATGTTCCTGTGGCAGTGGCCTTGCAAATAATCTAGGATATGACACCTAACTTGAGATACTGTAAAGGTGATCCTTTTCACCTTAAGGTTATTCTTAATCCCAGGAGCTAAACAGCCAAGGGAGCTCTGTGACAAGYTTTCTCAATAGATTAAAAAATGGGAGCAGTCCTTCCTCATGATAGGAAGGTGCTTTGGATAGGAAGGAATAGGGAATTGGAAAGGAAATTGGGAGCTGATACATATTCTGTTGTTTGAGAAATGTGTAGCTGCTGTGAAAAGCAGCTCTTCTGTAGCGGCACAGGGCAGGTAGGGCCAACACACATCGTGTCTTCATTGGTATCGGTGCATATCTAGAGCTCTTTTGACTTTTAAAATCATTGTTATTTATATTTATTAGTAATAAGCAGCAAGAAATATTGAGTCCAGAATGTGGCAATCTTTCTATTCCTTTCCACCTTTAGCAGGTTATTCTTTTGTTAAATTTAAGACTATAAAAAACTAATGAGGTTTGCGCTCATTAAAGTAACTTAAGGGCTTCTTACTGGCCACGTGAGCAATAACTGTTTGCTTGGATTCTTTGTTCAGTTGAACCATTTTCGGGGCAAGACTCACTGCAGTGAACATGTAGAAGTCTTCTAACTTTCCACTTAATTATTTAGGACTTTAGATAAAGATAATTAGCAGAATAAATTTATATCTTCTATTTATAAATACTTTTATAATTAATAATGCAGTTTATTGTTCTTTGGCTTTCCTTTTAAKAAAATAAAGAGAAACATAGGGGGAAAAAATGGTTTATTCTGTCCCAATATGGGGATATGAATACTGTGACTCTTCTCTTTGGGAAGCAAGAGTAGAAAGAGAATTTCTGGCAAGATCGAGCATAAGGAGACTTAGGGCATGGTCCAGGTAATTAGGTATCCACTTTGGCAGTGAGGATATAAAATATTTGGGCCTATATCTTAAGGTTGGAATAGCCTTTTGTTATATAATATGTAGTTATATAATATGTAGCAGAGCTTGTCATGAGGGTCTCCTGTGAATTGCCCACCTTCTGCCAACCCTCTTCTGCAGGAGAACTAAAAATGTAGAAAGCTGCCAGCCTTTTGGGCTGAAGGGAAAGAAACTACTGAGTCTGAGCTCAGTAGATTTGGGTTGGGGAGACTCATTCAGTCTTAGTGTTTGTGTCCATCTGAATGTGCCTCTTGGCTCCCTTCCATGCTAGGGTAGCGAGGTGGCCTCACCTAGCAGTAGATGAGCATGTTGTTTTAGGGACAATTTTGGAATGTTTGTCATCTCTTCTGAAATAGCCATCTTTGACAAATTTTGATTGTCTTGGCTCTAAGTCTGCTGTTTAGTTTGCCCCAGTGACRATGTAAAATCATGTGGGGTAGGAACTGGTGTCTCTGCCTTGGCGTTGGGCCTGAGCAAGGCCTCGCTCCTCTTCAGCAGGATGCGTGAGCGTCGCCGGTTGAGCTGGAGGTGCTTCCCGCTSTTCCCGGTGAACTACAGCTATTCAAAACCCTTAAAGCTTGGAGTGGGAGGAGGGAAAGGCCTGCGGTGATGGGCTGTTCTAGCAGTAAATTCATACTGTCTGCCTTGGCAACTGTATCGCATGAGATCACAAGTATTTTCCATCTAGTGTGAGAAATAGTAGGTGGTGAGGGAATAGCCTAATGAWTTTTTCCTTACGACTGTGATTCTCGTGAGGGAGTAACAGCATTTGTTCAGTGCTAGATGAAGCACCCAGATGGCTGCTGCCTTTTTTCTTT